CTTGGCGCAGAGTGGAGATGCACTACATATTTGTTGAATGAATGAATAAAAGCCCAAGCCTTTCCTCAAGTGGGAATGATAATTAACCAAGGGAACTATGATCAGTAGGCAGCAAACGCCAGTGGATGATTTTACTTGGCAGAAAGGAGAATCTTGTGATTTTAGATATCCTTTGAGCTCAACTTGTCCCACAGACCAGTGTCTAGAAACTCATAGAAGTCAAACTGACTTGCACAAGGATATTGGAAGCTGTTGAGAGTGAATAAATCAGAATTAGGCCTTCCATGAGATGGATTGAGAGCTACCGTGGGCCCCAGCAGAGGAACTGCTGTGCGTACAGTGCAGTGCTGCGCAGTGTGATAAGGCTGAACTGACTGGATGGCACCTAACAACAACAACAGCAACAACGATGGTGGCTATTACCAGTCACGATGTAGAGCCCTGGTGGTGCAGTTGTTCGGTGATCAACTGCTCACTGGAAAGTGTACTGTTTGAACCCACCAGGACCTCCTGGAATACAAATGTAGCAGTTTACTCCTTAAAGATGACAGACTTGGAACCCAATGTGACAGTTCTACTCTGTGCTATAGGCTTGCTATGAGTCAGAATTAACTTGAAGGCAGTAGCTTTGTTTTTTTCTTTTATTATCCAATGTGTAAAGGTCATGGGTCTACAAATGGTGGGAACTTGAGGACTAAACTAAAGGTTGGCAGTTTGAAACCACACAGCAGCACCTTGGAAGAAAGTTCTCCCAATCTGATGCTGTGAGGATCACAGCTAAGAAAACCACAGAACACAGTTCTGCTCAGTAGCATGTGCAATGAAAAGGTCAAGAATGGGCAAAATGTCCTTGCAAAATCGTCTTACGCATTATAGAGTTTGATACAACCTCCCTAGTGTTTTGAGGTTACTGCCATTTAAAAGCAAAAACTTAAGTAATAGTCGAGAGATACTCATAGGTTTATGTTAAACCTATCCCGATCACATATCCGAGGGTCCCCATGAGTTGGAATCCACTCGATAACAACTGGGTTTTGCTTTTGTGTTTCCTTTCCCCAGTAGGTGTTCTCAGATAGTCTATCACAGAACAGCCCCGCCATCCCGCCACTGGTTAAAAGCTAATGCACACTTGAGAGAGTTCCCATATTTTTTAGAGACTTTAAAAAGAACATCTTGTTCACGAAATAACTATCGAGAGAATGAAATGGAAATTATCTCCTGCAGTCAAATTCTGTCACTTGAAAGTCGGTAACGAGCTCCTCGGTGTTTCCTTCTGACTGTCTTCAATTTGAACATCGTAGAGGCCAAAGGAAATGGAAACATTTGTTCAAGCATACATGCCATTCAACTCCATCATCAGAAGGTCTCCCTGCGAGGCTGGTGGAGCCAAAGCTTGCTTACATAAATTCAAATGAATGGGACCCTCCTGATAAGGAGTAGGCAAAGAATAATAGTGAAACAAGCTCATAATTGTGTTGTGCAGTAAAAGAAAAATATTAGGAAATTACTTGAGAACAATATATGTTCTAATAATAGCTGATATGCTCTCACCTACATAACACTTCAGGAGCCAGGGTAGTGTAGTGATTAAGTGTTTCTTTCCTAATGGAAAGGTCAGTGGTTCCAAT